CATCAGGGCCGGCCCCAGCGTGTGCAGGTTGGCCACACAGATTACGGCTACTGCACGATCTAACACCACAAGGATCCCCACATGTACAGAACAGTATAGTAAACATTTCGTAATCGCCAACTACGCGTGCTGTAAACATATTTTAAAGGTCCCCTATGTATACCCTGGTTTTCCATCCAATATATTGTAGGTCTCAGTCGTATACTCCAGGCATGTCTCTGATTGGCTCCAAAACACAAACAGATCGTTGGCACGCATCCCGAGAATCCCCTCCTGTTTCCAGCCCTGTTTCAAAGTGCTGATTCTCTGCTGTTATCTTTAGATGAAAATAGGGACCCCTCACCACGCCCTCTGAGAGAGATTTGGTTAAAAAGAACTCAATGGTGAGATTCAGGTGATAAGGGGGGGGGTTACCTTGGTTGGTGATTGGCTAATGGTTTCACGAGCCAAAACATTGTTATGACATCATAAAGAGGCCAAAATCTGATCAGTTTATTTTCAGACAGGTTTGTATAGAAATGGATCAGGACAAAAAGAGAGAGAATCTTTTTTTCCTGAAACTTTCAGAATCTCTTTCCACAGAGGGGACACATGTTGATTTAGAAGAGATATGAAAAAGTGGATTTAAAAAAAGCTAAATTAGGGATTCTAAATAAGAAATGTCCCACCACTTTAATTTTATTTTAATGGATTTAATGGAGTGAACCAGTTGCAAGTCAAACACTGCTGACCTTTAGCTTCTTGTTCTAAGCTTGTGTGTCAAGTCAAACCTGTCGGCAGACAATGGGACAATATACTTGTAAGGAATTAGCCGGTTCGGCACTCCGAGTCCTACCTCATCAAGTCTCTGATTCCTGGAGATGGGGAGACGACAGTGGAGGTGGTGTAGTGGCCAAACCAGATCGACTGGTTGCTTTTCAGACTCTCAGCTCTGAACGTGTCCAGCAGGTCCATTTGAGTCTTTCATAGATTGAGAGAAAATACATTAGAATAACTTTATATTACTTGACATGTATTATCTGCAGTATACTGAACAAGTGCTGGATTTGTTCCTTTTTTAAGACACATAAGGTACCGTTTATTATCATTTCTAGTAAGTGAATATTGTACATTGTGTCATTTAGTACAACCTTCTAATTTTGAAACATTTTATTTTCCATTTACTTTTTAATGGCCACAGTTCCCTATAGAGGATTATGACCTTAAATCCTTTAAGCCTCCACTAATCCTCTAATGGGTAATAACAGAACGGTTGTTTTAAGTATTCAAAGGTTCTCTGTTTTCTAAAGTTTACAAAATATTCAGCCAATGTTTATATTCAACAGATTGTGCACTGGAGTTATACCTGGTTAAGAATACCAAAGAAATTGTACGGCCTCTTGGGTCCCGGAGTCAGAGTGGCGTCCGCACAGACAAAGGAGTAGTTGCCAAAGGGAGTTTTGTGAACATAGTGGAATGAGCCTATTTTCTGATTAGCAGAGTACTTCCTAGAGAACATTGAAAAAAAAAAAAGTCTATTAGAGCAACAAGGGTGGTTTGGGATGGAGCCAGCAGCTTCCACAGAGTGCTGAGAGATAATTTGATGCATTTTTTATATAAATAAATAAATTAGGCTTGCACAGGAGACAGCCTTTGTCTGGCAGAGGATGGCCACAACATTAGGAATATTAAGGAGATAAAAGATAAAAATCAGCATTAACAGAAGCAGCAATGTCACATAAAACATAATTTGTGTCAGAAGAAAGGAGAGTCAGTGTCTCTTTCTGCCGAGTGTGCTTCTATTTCAGTCCTCAGGAAACTCAGACAGCTCGCATTATTGGCAAAAATAGGTTTGCAACTGCAACTATTCCGGTTTCAGAGGCATTGAAGTTACTACGCTCTCTGATCGACTTCACATTTAGCTCGCTAATATAGGACATGGAGGAGTAGACTGTAACAGTATATAAATCAGGTGTTTACTGTGTATCATACTGACCGGTAATAATTGTTGACGCTGTCCAATGACATTATATTGAAGGCATCTGTCAGAAGAAATGAAATGATGGTGAGGTTTAACAAAAGGTAATTTCATAATTTGCTTGCTAAACACCAGCATGTCTAATGAAGAAAGTCTATGATTCTGATTTCCTCGTTTGATATCAAACTAGATAAACATCGAACCCACTAACAGACACAATAACAGGAAACATATCTACCACTGCGATCAATAAGAGGAGATTTGGTGGTGACAGAAACTCCAGATCCAATAACTAGCTTTCTTTTCTTTCAAAAGCTACAAAGTTAAGATATCTTCTTTCCGATCTAATAGCTTGTGATCCAATAAAAGAGGGGAAAGAGGCAGCGAAGAGGAGGGGTAGCATGAGCACCGCAGTTAATGGATTCTTCAGAAAATCTTAATTGTACTCTGGGATGTTTCCATGGCACCAGTGAGTTTGCAGAGAACATTAAAAGACAACAAAGTGCTGCGGTTAATCACCATGATTTCCTCGGATGTCTATCCACCTCGTGCGCTCCATCACACGAGACCTCTTCAGGATGTTGTGGTAGGCCTGCCACTCCACCTCGTGCTGGAGCGAGCCCACCTTACTCTCCGTTTTAGCATCTGTCAAATCCCCTGTGAGAGCGAAGGAGATACATGAGAGAAACAACATGGCTGCTGCTTCATTAAAATACTTTCCTACTTTGATTGAAGTTGGAAGGGTACTCTCTGTTTCAATGTGTATGAGATGATTCAAAATTACCGTAATTTTCGGACTATAAACCGCGCCTTTTTCCCCATTTTTCGACCCTGCGGTTTATATAACGGTGCGGCTAATCTATGGATTTTTACAGCTAACGGCCACTAGGGGACCTCCTAAATCTATGGATTTTACAGGTTACAGTCCACCACCTTTAACTTTATGGGCTCTATGGCCGCTCCGCGCCCCCCACCTTTAAGCGGCGGGCTGCAGCAGGAAAAGCTGAAGGCCGGAAAAGAGTGAGACAGGTAGCGCGCAAAAGTAAAAGTGGAACCGAGAGTGGTACGAGAGACAGAACGAGAGCAAGACAGACAGACATTACGAGAGCGAGACAGTTTGTGCAAAGGTGTTAAACGTGTAGTGTGTAGTTTACACAGCACAGCACATGTTCTGTAGCTACTATTGCACTAAATGGTAACACTTGAATACGTTATGCAAATATGCAACTTTTTTGTTGAAATGTTAATAAATGGGAGCTTCTTTCCCGACAATC